AAAAGTAATCCCGTTACTTTACTGATTACTTATTTTCAAAAGTAATTAATTACTTAGTTACTTAGTTACTTTTTAAAAACACGATTTACAACCTGAAGAGGTGATAGAGCGATAGATCTTTCAGCCCAATTCTTCTTTTTCTTCATAATCCATCATATAAAATGTAATCAAATGGAAAAGTATCTTTTTTTAACTTGTTTTATCAGTTTTAATCTTTTAACTTTATGCATCAAGCAAAAATTAAATTATATGCAACATTATCTGACTTGAATAAATTAGTTTAACATTTAAACCTATTTTCTACACATTCGAGCACATAAAATAAAATATTTTTTGTGTTTACACTCAGTCTTTCAAATAGATGCAAGTAAAACACAGCAGAAAATAAATAAAGTCAAAGACTCAGCAGTCCTGTTGCTCTATTTTTACCTGTAAAGCAGGAGTAGGGTAGGCGGAGGTTTACCCTGGTGCAGGTGTGCCGCGGTCAGTTGAAGAATCCGCGAGTTTCTCTGTGAATTTCCCATTACATCGTTGCGCACTCGGTGCTTGCTCGGAAGTTTAGGGGTTTTTTTTCGCTGTAAAAAGAAGTTTTCTTCCCACGCACAACGGACACTAATGTTTTTGTCACTTTTTATGGAATCAAACTTAAAGTAAGGTCAGTGCTTCCACGCTTTAAACACTGCACGCTCATACTCTCTCCCGCACTCGATATGTTATACATTGTTGATCTGCACACAGCTGTTATCACGAATGTCGCACTTGCTTATGTCACTGTCATGAGACATTCTCACAAAAAAATCACGGTTTTAGTAACGCAGTAACGCAGCGTTCCTACGGGAAAGTAACGATAATCTAATTACCGTTTTTGCAATAGTAATCTCTTACTTTACTCGTTACTTGAAAAAAGTTACAAGTAACGCGTTACTGCCCATCTCTGATTCTGAATACTTTGGATTACTTAATATATTATTGTTACGTGTCTGCAGGCTGCATGTTTTCTTTCCCTCTCCTTTTGTTCGCCGTTCCCTTAGGTCGCAGACTGCAGGCTGATGTCAATCTGGGGACGTCCAACTAATTAGAGGAGGGAGGCCCTGATTGGACAAACCAGGAGTGAACACCTTGATAAGGAGACTCACCTGTGGCTGGGTGTGGCTCTCTTCCCTCCTTTGAATTGTTTGGCACATGTGTGACGGTTTTCCTGCTGTCTTGCTTTTGTTTGATGATTGTGGTGGGAGTAAAGTGGACTAGGTAAGTTTGGGGACCCCATACACTTACTCGCGTGGAGTCTTTTTGTTAGAAACACTAGGCAAGTAGGTTGGTGCCACCCATGTAATTTTGAGCTTGTTTTAAGTTGAGGTTTAGGGTCTTTCTCTCCTGCTTGTTGCTTTTCTAGGATAATAGCTCAGCTAAGTTTTGGTTTTGTCTTTTTGGTGTTTTTTTTTTTTTTGTTTGTTTTGTTTTGGCACAACCTAACTGTCCCTTTTTCCCCCACATTTGTTGTTTGAATCTGGGTTATTTATTTTGTGAGAGCGCTGCCATTAAACCTTTTTCATAACACCTGTACCGAGTTTCCGGAGTTGTTGTGTTATCCCCTCCTGCCCTCGAGGAGACGTAACAATTATCAAGCTTTTTACAACTACATGAATGTACTATTGCTGTGTGATTTATTACTGTTACTGAAGGTTACTCGCCATACCAAGACCAACTAGATTTTTAAATCTTAATATAAAATGAGTAACAGTAGGGTGGACAGTAGGTAAGGCCGCACTTTATGCATCGATCTCGTATAGAAAACAGGTTTGCAGCTCCGAACCGTTGTAAAGAGACCTCTGGCGGGCTCGTAGCCGAAAACTATCTACCCTTAACTTGTCTGAGTCAACTTTGCTAGCAAGAGACGGAGAGAGGCGTTGAAAGGCTGCTCCAACGGAACTTATTGTTTCGGAGGAAAACAGTGTACAGTCGAGTCTTAACAGCTTACTTACAACTGGGCTCGTCAGGCACTCTTCTTGGCTGCAGTGGTTATTATTATATTTACATGCTTCCAGCTCCTGTTTCTGCTCGGTAACAACTAGTACTTTCCACTCTCCTTTTTCTCCCTTCTCGTGCTCACACACACACACACACACAACGGGTACGGCAGTCCATTCTCCCTGCAGCAAGGACTACACTGCCCGTAAGGCTACATTCTTTAGGGCTATGCCTGTAGCATTCTGCCTATTGACTTCATATTAAATAATTTTTGTGAATAATTAAAAAAAATTAAAATTTAACGTCATTATGCAGGCCGCAAGTAGGGGTGACATGGGCCGCGAGATTAGGACACAGGCATTAGAGCCTCTTGATGCGTGTTTTGTTTGGGTTTCCACCGGTGTGGAATTACCAAAAATAGATGGCATAGCCTAACATATGAAACAGGAAAAGACTGCCGTGTAATCCATTTATTTCAACAAAGTAACTGTATTCCGAATACCGGTAATGGAATACAGTTACTCATATTTTGTATTTTAAATACGTAACGCCGGTACATGTATTCGATTACTCACCTTATTATTATTATTACTCATTATTCACCTGTATCAACCCCTGGGTGGGGCTATCATTCCCTCACCTGTGCAGCACCTGGAGCTGGTCTGAAGCAATCAGTCTCAGATATTTAAGACCAGCATTGACATAGTCTCATCAACTAACTTCACTCTTTGGATCACGTCACGGCTTAGCCCTCAGGCCTTGCCCATTTCTTGGACTCCAATCCATACTCTCAGCTCTTCACATGCTATCTCTTGGGAAGCTTCCAGCTTTACACCTGCCTGCCCTCCTGCCACCTTTTGCTCACTGGATCTCTCAGAACCCAGGTCAGCCATTCCACTCTGCCCAGCTCACCCGGAGATACACCTTGTTCCCTCAGAGCAACTCTAAATCCACCTGCAATGTAAGTCACTCCCTCAATTAAAAGCCACAGTCACCTAAGAGATCCTTTTTGAAACATTCTAACCCCTCTCTGTCCACTCTCCTCAGTGCCACCACACTTCAGCCATGACTCAGTCCACCTCGTTAGCTCCCCCAGGCTCTCACCCTGCTAAGTGGTACATTCTAAGTTGCTAAATTATTACATTGAGAAATAAAGAACAGGTCTTAAAGTATGAGGTTTAAGACTTTAGACTCTTGACTTCACAGCTGAACACCTCAGCTGTGCACCTTATCGGTGACTACATACTGTATATATGTGTGTGCTTCTTTTTTAAAGGCCCCTGTGGTTTTGATCTCTGTGATTTTGTCTTCCAGAAAAGATTTCTGACTTGAATATTTTGACATGACATCAAAGTCACCAAACAGGGCTAACAGGGGGATTTCTCCATGAGATCAGTCTCCAGACATACTGTACATGTCATTATCTTCTCCTTTGCCCTCCCGTCACCTCCTCAGATACGCCAGGAGCATATCATCCATCAGGAGAGACACCCTCCACGCAAACCCCCATTCCCACTTTACACATGAGCGTGGATGTCGTTTGTCCCCCGGCTGTTCACTGCTCTGACCGGGTTGGCAGCGTTCACACAGTCTGGCTAGCTGAGTTGTCATCTGACATTTATTACAGTTAAGGATCATCCTGGCATGTGTTCTCTCTCTCTCGCTCTCTCGCTCTCTCTCTCTCTCTCTCGCTCTCTCTCTCTCTCTCACCTCACATAAGGCCAGGAGAGCTAATGACTGAGATGGCTGGGCTTTAAAAAAGAGAAAAGGAAAGGTGAGAGAAGATGATTCATCTGAGCTGCTCTCCGCCAGCGATGAGTGACGGCTGATTTATGATTCAGCGCCGACCTGTGAGAGCTTAGAATCATTTCCCCCCATTTCTTATTTTAATTCCTTACCGCAGGTGACGGCGGGAGGGATGGGAGCCAATTATCTTAAGTGTCTTTCTGCTCTCTGTCAGCCACTGACAGTCGCTGCTGAAGCTCTCCAGTCGGCCTGTGAACAGGTGACTGCCGCCACCTCCTCTATTACAATCAGCTAAGGTTTTTCATTTGCGTGGCAGCTTTGGGCTCACAGTATAAATATCTGAATGTGGATCTTCCTGCTGCAGTTTGACCAGGACAAAAACTGATTTTTCTCTTGACAAAAGGTGTCCACTCTCCAAGATCAGAGTTTTTCTTGCATTCAAATTCTCATGACCTGTGAACTCTGCTTCAAATATAAAGTTCATTATTTAGAAAACAGACACACGGTTTGTAATTTCAACTTTGACAGTGTTTTTGCATGCAATACGTCTTACTGAATGGTGCTTGTGCAGTTGTGGGCAGTATCCGTACAAATACTGTACTTAATTGGAATTTTCAGGTACCCGTACCCAAATATTTTGGGGTATTTGTTTTACTGGCAGCCTTTAACTTTTACTCCATACATTGACAGGGTCATTCTCAAATGTCTTATCAATTATTATTGCCCACCATTTTTCACATTGACTTCAATGTAAATAAATGTAACAATAATGTAACAACAATAAATGTAACAATTACACATTAAAGACAATCCTGCTGTTATATTCATCACTGGGGCAAAATAACAAATTTAAAAAACTAAAAAAGGAATTTGAATAGAATAGAGCACAATGCTCACAGTATAACAATCCTAAACAACATTGTGGAACACATTCGATGTTGTGGTCACATCTGGAGAGAACTGAGTACACAGGAAGTCACTTTTTTAAAGTGGCAGATAACTTCAAATTCAACATTTCTAATATCTCAGCATGGAGATGGAAAAAGATAGAATTGCTCTTTTTGTTATATTATGAAATGTCTTGTGAAGCAAACTGAAGTATGATTAATGTGTGTTATTCAAATGTAACTTGAAAATATGAGGCCACGCCGATTAGTTTTTGCACTACTCATTTATTTATTGATTGATCGATTTATTCAGCTTGTGTTCTACATAACACAACTGAGGCCATTTACTAGAATTAGAAGTTAGGCTTAAATACAGTTTGAGTCTCTGTCAATATTGTTGTATTATTACATTAATATGGCACAAGGTTTAGTTTCCTTTCACAAGGCCAGTGCTGGTCTGATTAGTTTTAGGCACCGTTTTAGCGCTACATCAAATCTAAACAAACTGGGTTAGTGTGACTGAAGGCCTTCCTCTAAAAAGAAATTCAGATTTTGTCATTACCATTTAATTTGTTCCTATGATTTTAAATCTGTTCCTTTTTCAGTTACTAGTTAGTTATCAGTCATATTGATGCAGTCCTCTCCTACACCACCCACCTCCAGCGTCGGTGAGTTCTTCCAGTAATCACACTAGCAATCCTGGATCACCTCCACTCAGATCTAAAACTGAAAATGATTTTAGATGCAAAACTAATGAGAAAATAACACTTTATATTAACCCTTTAGAGCCGATCGGAGCGGGAACGCTCTGTTATGCGTAACTATTTTTAAATCCCGGTAGCACTGCAACCACGTAAGCTAGCGCAAAATTTTTTTTTGCATATGAAACCGGAGGAGTTGTACTTACATATTGTGCCATCAGCTTGTCCTTGGTCACGGTTTCCTTCCACATAAAGCTTTGTAAAAACTGCATAAAAAGCGCTTGCAGGAACAAAAACATAATATTCCAGAAACACGCTTTGCCGGTCCAATCAGCTGTTCAAAACACTTCCTACGTTGGAATAGACGTCAGCGCGAACTTTTGCATTTCCGCCATTACCTGGCCGAAACCGGAAGTGACGTCATTTTCGCGGAAATGTAGTCTTTTTTGCGATCAGGGCCTCAGGGCCTATACTGCTCTTTTTAAAAGTTATCTTTGACTTTATGACTTTCTGTGTCGTTTCTGGGATGCTTAGGACTCATATTGCACTGCTGGAAATAGTTTATTTTGATGCATATGCTGCTTTTTTGCAAATTTGCAGTATAATATTTATTTTCGTTTTTCCTGCAGTGTATAAAAATTGGTGTATTTCAAAAATAAAACTATGAAGACACTCAAAATAAATTTCCTGTGGTGAGAAACTATTTTGTGCAACTCTTTTGTATTTACAGTTTTGAGGTATAAGCCTCTTAAATTTCTCTAACTACAAATATATGTTAAAAAATCAAAAACGATTTTCAATTTTTTTGTAGTTTATTGCACTTTTTTGCAATTTATGTAATTACTATGCACTTAATGAATACATATTATTAAAATCTGGGCTATAATGGTTGTATTGATGTATAGCAACTTGAAATGCTCCCAAAAATGGCTCCACAACATGTAAAAATATAATATAAGCTCTGGCGGACTTGGTTCTATGGTAGGTCTTAAAGGGTTAAATGTCATTTTATTGTGTATTGTTTGTAACAATTTATTTAAAAAGTTCCAAATTATTGTAGTAACCTGAAATAAATAAATAAAAGTTGTTTTTATGGGAAATTTAAAATGTTGTTTCATGTCGTTGATCATTAACACGCCAGATTTTAATCTCAATTAATTTCAATTAAGCGAACAAAGTGAAGCAAAAATTCTGAGAAGGAATATAACATTCAACGAGAAATAGAAATGCACCTGCAAAAACTGCTTCCTCTATATTTGCATTAAATTCAATAAGCTGGAGGAGCACAGCTAGTTGCTTTGGTGATATTCTCGTTGAAGGACAGCGAGTATCAGCCTGGATGTAAGATTAGCTCTGGTTTGGTCTGTGTTGAAAACAAGCTTTGGGCTGGGCTATCTAAAGTAACTGAGGAACTAAAATGATTTAGATCTGAACACCCACAATTTGACGAGTTAAATCAGAATAAATTGTCAAAATAAACATTTGTTATAAGGTGTCAAAAGAAAATATACACAGTGCGGTAAATGGGCCGGCCTGTCACTCGCCTCACCATCCAATATACTCCAATCAGTTTACCATCCGTTGCAATTCAATTTGACAGTAAGACAAATCGGACATCCAATGTAAAGTAATTGAGAGCGACGCTTATTTGAGCATGTGGGGAGGCCCGAGAAAGCTGTGCATTCTGCATCAGTTTAACGCACAGCGTCTGTCCGTGGCAGAGATGGATTGTGGTGTCAGAGTTATAGATAAGCTTCTTTTTAGTTAGCCCCATCGGGAGGCATGAACATTGTAGTCATATTATAGATAACAAGTGTTTTTATCCACGTCACAACAGCACAGCACACACAAGGGGGGTGGGGTTGGGGGTGGGGGTGGGGTGGGGGTGTAAGATGCTCATATTCCATCAAGTGAATTGTAATTGCTATTCGCCAGAGGACATATAATTGAAAAATTGGAAGAGAGCAAAAAGTCAGCACTGTCTATGTTGTAAACACAGATTGGACCGAATCCTCCGCGGTCGTGGGCGGCCGACATCACAAGCTCTGGATAAAAAAACAACAGACAAAAAGGCTCGGCTCTCTTCCTCGACTGAAATCCACTTTTTTTCAAAAAAGAAAAAAGAAAAAAAAAAAAAAGAAAGAAAGAAAGAAAGGTCTTTGGGTTGCAGGGGATTAAACCACACTCACACACACACACACAAACATGCATATTCACACAGAGAGCTGTGGTGTTTAGTGCCAAGCAGAACTGCGTTCCAGAGAGGAAGAAGTGGTGCTTGAAAAGAAAAAGGTTTGTGGGGGAAATAAAGAAGGTGAATTTGGATTGATGTGAATCACGCTTGCCACTCTGGCCCGAAGCTCTTCCAGCCGGGGATGAATCGCCTACCTGTGTCAGAGGGATGTGTGAGAGCAACATCCAACAACAACAACAACCCCCCCGCCCCTTCCATCTACCACCACCATTACCAGCCGCCCACACACGCCTGGCCGGCAGGCATGTTACAGCGAGGATTAGATCGTATAATCGAACGCATTCCACCTTCAGACTGGCACAACCTCAGGGTCTCCCTCTTTCTCGCCACTCACTCGTGCACTACAAACCACTGGGGGAAGCCAAACTGTGAGCGAAGAAGGACACTGGAAAAAAAAAAAAAAAAGAGGGTAAGGGACGGGTTAGTGTTGCTGTGCTAAACCCACACACAGCTTACAGAGCTCTAAGCAGAGGCCAAAGGTCTGGTAAACTCAACGGCACCTGCTTGCTAGGCCGCTAATCCAACTGAGGATGAGGAGTTTTGGGGAGTGGGTGGTTAAACAAGTGGGCAGCGAGGTTAAAGCGCATTTCCACCCATGCGCAGTGTCTCGAGACATGATCGGCGCAGAAATGTTGCAACCGTGTCAAAAGCTGAAAGTAGCAGAAACACGCAGATGTCGGCACCCAAAGCTGAAGCATCAAACACATGTGAAACCTCCTCTAACTGGCCGAAAACTCTCACAATGGTGGATCTGCTGCTGCTTAGGAATAAAGGATCTGCCCATGTTACTAAGTGCAATTGTACACTGACTAGTTTGCTTTTGACATTTTTTTTTAAATTTCTTTTTTTTTTTGCAATATTTCCAGTAAAGTCAAAGGAGCTTGCAAAGAAAAGCGTCTGGACTTCTTTAAGTTGCTTGAAGACGTTTCACCTCTCATCCGAGAAGCTTCAAATGGTGGAGAGTCCCAGATATAAACCTAGTGGGAGAATCCCCCCACAGAGGGACAAAAGGACCCCCTGATGATCCTCTAATCACCTGAGCCAAGGTGTGAAACTGGGCGTGGGTCCCAATCAGCCAGAGTTTCGGGTGAGCTCATTGTGAAACCTTATCATGCGAATTCCTG